GAGGTGGGGGTACCTGGGACTGGAGGCGTGGGTTCCTGGTGTCCGGAATCTGTCTTCGCAGACTGAACCGCCCTGCGGAAGCAAAAGCTGCTCAGCTTCCTGGCAGGGCAGCCCGGGTGACGTGAAGCCCCGGACCTGCAACAGTGGCTGGGCCCCTGGGAGAGGCTCAAGAGGGAGGCGTGGGGGAGGCCCAGAGCCTCCGAGCCACTGTCCAGCTCCAGCCTCCTGCCCCAGGAGGTTTTCAGGGACATTCCCCTCCCGCCCTCTAGCTCTTGTTCTGGGGCCGGGTGTGGGTGGCGGGGGGATTATGGGTGTTAATGTCCCACACCGATTTTAAAAGCGCTCTATGATGGGCACACCATCAACTGCACGTTTAAAGCCTCCGGCTCATCAAGTCCCAGCAGGCGCACACTCTGCTGAAACTGTCACCATAGTCCAGGTGATAAACGGCCCTCTCATGCATAGCCCTCCCTTTTAGGGCTATCCCCATTTTAGAGACAAGGAAACTGAACTCGGGTTCAGGAACTTGCCCAGGGCTCTCCAGGCTGGTAAGGGCGGAGCCAGGGCGGACTGCCCCAGGTGGCTAGGCTGGCAGGCCGCAGGGACAGCGGGCAAGGCTGCCCCCTCTGGGAGGGAACCGTCAGGCCAGGTGTGGTTGGGAGCCCGGGGGCTGACATCTGGGAGGCCAGGGTGGGCTAGAGCCAGGGAGAACGGAGCTGGCTCCAGATTCACCCAGCTTTCAGACACATCTCTACTCTGCCCCTTCCCAAAGGTACCTGGAGCCAAGCCAGGACCTGGGAGCAGGAGAGGGCAGCCCGCAGAGACAGACCACCCCCGGGCACCTGTCCCTGCTCTGCCTTGTGGGTCCGGTGTGCTTCTCCTGCCATCAGAGCCTGTGACGTTCTGAGTTCCATTGCCCCCCAACCATTAATTCTGTGAGGGCGGGGCCACCCCTCAGGTGCCTGTGGCCAGAGTCAGAAAGCCCTGCTGGTCGCGCTCTCTGCAGTTCAGCCTCCCTGCAAAAAAGGAGGGCTGGGATCCTCTCAGAGACAAGGATGGCCATGTGGGCACAAGCCTCAGCCTGGGTAGAGCCACGTGAGGGACTGCGTGTGCCTGGGAGCATGTTCCTGACCATGCACATGTGTGGGTACCTGTGAGCACCCAGGATTGCATACCTAAGAAGGGATATGTGTGCGTGCATACCTCTGTGCACCTGGAGGTGGGTACCTGGGAGTGCATGTGTGTGTGCACGTGTTTGGGTTTGTGCAAGGATGTGTTTACTTGTGTGCACACGTGCACGTCTGTGCATGCCATGTTCAGGCCGGCATGTGCTCAGAGACTGGCTGGGCAGGCGGACTGGGAAAGCCATGCAGTAAGACACCTGGTAACACACCCTCCCCCCTCAGCCACCAAGGTCCCAGGCTGTGAGGAGGCTGCAGCCTGAGGCAGAAGCTGAGGCCTGGGTCTGGGGGCGGAGAAGACAGGTTAGAAAGGAACGGTAGATGGAGCCCAGAGAGCACACGGGCTCTGCAGGCAGAGCTGAGGCTCCGGCCTCCACAACTGGTTCCAGCCACTGAAGCCCTGTCAGCATGGCTGCTCATCTGCAAAACAGGGTAGCGGTAAGGATTTAGAGATGTGGGGAGAAGCCCGGGGCTGGGCACCACGCCTGCGTCCACTGAGCACTCCATACCACTGCCACAGCTGACCTCAGGCGAGTCCCCCACTCTCCAGGCCTCAGTTGCCCCATCTGCACAGCAACCTAAAGCCCCTGGGGTTCAGACACCCCAGGACACTGCTTCATTCCCAGGGAGGCACCTGGTAGATCCTCTCTGAAGTCAGGCTCCCCCAGCTCGTGAAGGGCCCAGGGCAGGTTTTTCCAGATCCCAGGCCCTGCCCGAGGCCATCTGCTCCAAGGCCGGTGCAGACAGCCTTTGCCAGCAGATGCCTGGGTGGAGGAGGTGAGCTCGAGTCAAGCTGCCTGCCAGCCTGGCCTCACTGGCAAGGCAGAGGGCATTCTCTGTGGCCCCAGCCAGAGCCACCTGGCTAGTGCCCAGGGAACACGTGCCAGGCCAGCCTAGGCACTTCCTCAGCACAGAGGAAAACTCACGGGGCTCTAAAATGTCAGAGCTGGAGTGACAAGAGGCTGTGTTCAGTCACATGCACGTCATTTCCAGGCCTAAGGAACAACAAGCCCCGGTCATAGGCCAGTGACGTCAAGCCCAGGCTGACTGCAGACTGCTGGCTTCCTACTGCACCCTGCCTGATGCTGCTCCTTGTCCCCTAGGAGACCTTAGGTCCCTCTCCCACTCCACACAGCAAAGGCTCTGAGGACTCACCCCTGCTCTACCTGTTATTTTTCTGTACGCCCCGCACCCTATAGCTCAGGACTACCGCTGCAGCTAACATCCCAGTTCAGCTGAATTTGGTTTGTTACAATTGTTTAAAAAAAACAACAACCTGGATTCCACCTGGGCCAGCAGATTATCTCCTACTTTGGGACTTCTTTGTTCAAGGATTTCCGCTCCTGCAGGATGTTATCATCTGTGTCAGATAGAGCTGGGCTGCAACTCTGCACACTGACAGGAAGGAGGCCCACTGCCCTCCTACAGGTCCAACCTAAACTTTCACTTGACAGGCTTCGGGTTATCCCCCGAAGTAGCAGCTAGGGGACTAAGTAGGTACATTGGAGCCTGGAAGGAGATCTTTGAACCCTCTCCTGGCAACACTTGGGGAAAAAGAACACTGATTCATTCATTCATTCATTCATTCATTTAGGAATAGCCCAGTGCCTGTGGGTGCCTGGCCTATTCCATGTCTAGGGAAGGGCCTACCCTGCAGGAGGGAGGGAGCCAGGGCCTGGAAGATCAACTTCACTCAAGCAGAAATCAAAGGCACAGACCCTGAATTCCAGTGAGGTGCCTCTTTCCACATGGGTGACCACAGGCAAGCAGCTCATTTCAGGGCCCTTGTATTCGGTGCTCAACGAAGGCATCTGGCTGTCCTGGCCAGCCTCCCAGGACCCGCGGTGAAGACGAGATGGGTCATGGGAAAGTGCTGGCTCAGCAGGTGGGTCTGGACCTGGCTCCACCCCAAGTCTCCTGGGGCACCTGATTTCACAAGCCCAGGACAGACATGCAGATGGTGGGGGTGCATTAGTAGGGCTGAGACTGCAGAGGGTGGGAGTCTCTTCTGCCCTTACCCTGTGCCTGGCCCTGTACAGGAGCTCAGAGGACAGGATTCACCACCCACTCACTGGGTCTGCTTGCTCAGAGCAGAAGAAGAATTACTTCTCATGTGTTTTGCAGGTGGCTCCTTCAGGGACAAGCCACATCCCACCCCAGGCTCCCTGCCCTGGATGGAATGTGGAGGGAAACTGAAGGGGGGTTGGAATGAAGAGGATGCCATTTGCTACCCAGTGCCAAAGTTCCTGTCCCTCGTCCCTCTGTGATCATTTCAGACTTTACTGTCTTCTTCCCTTGTCACACCCATACCAGGGGCATAGGGTCGGGTCTCCTTCCCAGTTTTGCATCTGCACTCCCACAATCAGTGAGCAATGCATGGACCCAGATACTGTCCTCCGCAGTCTCCAGAGCCCTTACCAGCCTCCTGCTGTCTGTGAATGAGTCCCAGCCTGGCCCAAGCAGCTCCAACACACAAACAAGCACTGGAGCTGGGGGATGACCCAAGGCCTGTCTCCCCTTTCCGGTCATTGGCCTGGTGATGTGCCTGGGGTCACTGGCCTGGGATCAAAGCCCAGGACCTCTTGGTCTGTCCTTGGGGAAAGGACAGGTCGGTTCTTGCCCTGACACCTGCAGCCAGGTCCAGCTGCTCAGGAGCAGACAGCTCCATTTCACAGGGGGGGACCCCCGCCCCCTCAGAATGAGCCCTGGCAGGATGGAAGAGGATTTTCCTTCATTTCACAAGGAACCCTGCTTCCCTGGAGGGTGCAGCCAGCCGCCCAGGGGCCAAAGGCAACAACCCAGAGGGCGGACATTTCCTGTGGAGGGGCCCCTCCCATAGAGCCCAGCCCAGGGCCAGCAGGAAACGGGGTTGGGAGGATTCCCCCAAGGACAGCAGCGACTGTGCCCTCTGCAGGTAAAGGAACCCAGCCGCACCCACGTCCCTGAGCAGGTAGTCAGGGTCCTGTGTCCATCTGCCCAGGGTAAACTGAGGCTCAGGGAAAAGTGAGACGCCCAAGACCCAGAGGGCAGGGCTGGTGCGCTGGTGGAACTCTAGTTTTATGCCAAGAAAAACAGGTGGGGACAGATGGTGAGTCGGAGCGGGATTGGGAGCCCCATACCTCGGGACTCCCAAAGTCTCCATATGGGGGCTTCACGGTACAGAGGAAGCCAGATCCAAGAGGGAAAAATCCAGAAAGAACCTCGGCTAGCACAGGGGACACATCATCTGACCTACACAGATCAGAGTCTTGTGTCCCCAACTGGCGCCCCAGATCCCAGGAACCAGAATTTGGGCGCCAGCGTGTGATCAACAGAAACCCCGGTGTGGGCCTCCTTCCCTCGTGCCCGGCCGAAGCCCCGGGTGCGAGGCGTTTCGGGAGTCGGCGCGCTCGGACTGGGAGGGGGTGACCTAGGGCAGAGAGCGGGAAGCGGAGGGGCCGGGGGCTACTCACCGGGATCCTGGCGGC